CTCAGGCAGGTTCACATGCAATGACAGCCCACAATTCAGCAACAGACTAAACTCAGTCTGCTCTGTGTTGTCATGTGCAACTAGGCCACAGTGGCAAGGAGAGAGAATGCATGAATCTGCACCATGCTCTGTCTCCACACTTTGGTCTGGCTTATGGGAATGTTAAATTCCTGGTCCTCTGTAGTGAAAGATACTGTAGTTAAAGCTTGATATCACCGACTGAAGCAGGACACAGCTTCCAGGTGAATACTAACTTGTGTAACTCAGACAGCTAGCTCAGACTCTGAAGATGCTCAGTGCATGATTTTTGATAGTCCCATTTTTTCTCTAGATGGTACTTGTGGGTGCTTTGTTGAGCAGAAACAGCTGGCTTATACTGGACTTAGTCATGAACATTTTGAAGACTGAGTGAAGAAAAGGAAGGCTTGATGACTCATTTCAGTTTCTGTATTCAGAGTTCAAAGGTCAGAGTTCAAAGCAGTATAATTTATCTGAAAGTGTGGGTTCTCCTGGTTTCCAGTATGCATAAAAATGGATAAATTAAAATGTCTGTGGAAAAGATTACACATAACATTGTTTTGAACAGTTTCACTATTTTAAAAATAAACAGCATATGCATCAGAAATTCAGGTTGAAGATGATTCATACTGTAGCAGATGAAGCTTATTTTAGGGTAAAGATAAGCAGTAGGAAACTTTTATGTGCCAAGATGCATATGAGCACCGCTAGTAAAAAGAGATAAGCTTATTTACAGAACTGATTGGAGTAAGTAGTTGTTGATATATAGCTTAAGTGCTCAAAGTACTTACATTAAAGGGGGGCTTTTTACAAAGCAAAGTATTATAAGAATACTCCAGGGTTCCATTTGTTTGACTGTTACGGAGCTTCCAGATGAAGGTCTTACTGTGCAGTCATCCTGATTTATGAGAAGTCAGATGATGTCATGTTCAGTTTGCAACCCACCTACCATTTTCCCCATCTTTTTTTCTGACAAGAAAAATACCATCCTTTAAAGGATGAAAAGGTTGAATAGCTGTCCATTGCTTTTTAATTGGTAGTACTTGGAGCTCTTCATCTGGAAGTATCAGGAGTAAATTTTCTGTATCTAAATGTGTTTATGATGACATCCTTAGGGATTAATGTATAGAGATGCATTATGCAGAACTGGCTAATGATTAGACATACCCATTAAGAGAATTCCAATTTGCATAATTCTTTTCTCTCTCAAGCTCTTTTTTAAAAAGTAGCTTTCATAATTTCTGCTTCCATGTTTGCTGGAAAATTTAGCTACCCTTCTTTTCCTTGGCCCTAAGAAATCTATCATGCTAAGATTACCAAACTGACAAATACACACTGTGTCTGGATGTCTGTCAGGCTCCAGAGGGAACAGAGACAAGGAGAGAATTAGTCATTTTATTGTTAGCAACAGAATGTTCATGTTTCCTAGCTCTAGGACAGTTGCAGCTTCAAGGAATATTAACATCCCTTAACTGTTGGCTAGATTATTCAGGCTTGATATTAGCAGTTGGATAATTATAATATGTTAGAAGGCTTTCTTTTTACCTTTTGTGTGAAAGGATAAGAGTGATCACTGCTTTTTCTGATTTTTTGTAGCAATATATACAGATTTAGAACAGATTCCTACACATTTAAGCTGAATCAATAAAACAGAGCTGGGTGGCAGTCTGTTCAGATATGGAAATATTATGCATAGTATGAGACCGTGTACAGATCATTAATCAAAAACAATGTATAAAGTCAATTTGAAATCTAAATGTGCTTTCTGTAATGCACAAGAACCTAGGTCAGGGGTCGGCAACCTTTAACACTCAAAGAGGCATTTGGACCCATTTCCCACAGAATAGAACACATCGGGAGCCACAGAACTCTTTTGAACTCTGAAATGAAAATAACACTGCATATATTGTTTTTTACATTTATGCTATGTATAAAAAAAACTATAGTGTGTTGCATTTATGAAACAGATCGGGGCTGCCCGGGTTGCAGATCAGGGGTTGTGCTGTGCTGGCCTGGGTCGCAGATTGGGGGCTGTGCTGTGCCAGCCCGGGTTGCAGATCAGGGGCTGTACCGGCGCGTGTTTTGAGCAACGGAGCCGCAGCAGAGGGATTCAAGAGCCACATGCAGCTCCGGAGCTGTGGGTTGCTGACCCCTGACCTAGGTATAAATTTGTCAGCTGCACTGGCTTTCATTCCATTTCTTAGCCCAATTCAAAATGTTGGTGTCTACCTTTAAACAGTGTAAGACCAGATGTTTCCCACCTGTAATGCACCTGCCCAGACTCTTAGATCATCTTTGAAGGCCTTACTCTGTTTGCCTCTTCCAAAGGAGGCTAAATGAGTGATTATAAGACAGAGGGCCTTCTCAGTCCTGTTTACAAAATGCCTTTCTCAAAGAGCTTCACCTGGCATCTACACTGTTAGCTTTTCAGCACCAAGTAAAGGCCTTACTTTTCTCCCAGGCATTATAAAGACTGACTTCTAGATTTTTATGGCAGTTTTAGCTCATCTATTCCTAAGTGCTTTTTTGTATTGTATTTTATACTTTTGTATTCTGTTTTATATTTTTAACTGTGTGTTCATTTTAGGACTTTTAGCTATTTGTATTTCACCCAGAAAACATTGGATATGGGGGTAGATTAGAAATATAATAAATAAGTGTAATTACTCAGCTGGATGTCCTATTTAGTTCAATGGGACTTAGTCCTTAGAATTTGTGCTTAGAACTGCAGCCTTTAGTCAGCAAGGCCTCCTCTTTGGGTGTGGATTAAATGCATTCCTTCTTCTCCTGGCCACTGGTGTTATCAATATCAGCTGTTTATTTACTGGTTTCCTCTTTAGAGTCATGAAAAAGCAGTTAGGTCACTTCTCAGAACCCTAAAAATTCTATTAGGCTTCTAAATTCTGTGCATGTTTTGACAGAAAACAGCCAGAAAGCCATTCATACAGTGGTATCCCTGTCCTAGGTAGGAATTGGAAAGGGACCAGAAATCTAGCAAATCCTCAGAACAGTCAGAGATCAGCAAAGAAGGGTGAGTGAAGTTGTGAGTATAGAGAAGAACAAGGAGATGCACTCAGAAGGGGGTTTACCGCAACCCCTTTGTTTTGTGTATAGCTTACCAGATCCCACCTTCCCCATGCTGGTCCAGAGTGACCAGTACTCCATTTGTTTAGGATATTGTCCAGCCAAAAACCACTTCAAATGAAGTAACTCTGCCATTTGAGATTGGCTTACTTGTGGGTATAACTGGGCCAGACTGACTGGCATGGAAAGACCAGTTGTTTGGGAAATGTACCAGAATGGCCAAACCCTTACCATTCCTTCAAGTAGAGACCCAGAGGGTATAGTTCTGAACCAGAACCTCCCATCCTCCTGATGCTGAACAAAACTGTAACAACCGGAGTTCTTTGAAGGAGCCCACCTGTGGTGTGGACTGTGAAAAGAGGAAGCTTTTTGGAGGAAAACAATCGTTTATCTGATGATAATGCTGCTGATGATTTTGGTGGTTGCAGGATTCTCATTCTCATAGCTAAGGCCCAGTTCAGGAGAATTGGTGGCACCATGCTGGGCGTCGAATGAGCAGAAACCCAGAGTCCACAATCAAAATAACTTTACAGTTTATTCAGACATACAGGAAATACATTCAGTGTGTAGGTAGTCCCCAGACTACAAAGATGGAGTCTGTACAGTTGCATACACAATTACATATAACAGGGAGGGTTGGGGATTAGGGAGGCAGTTTGCTAGAGGCAAAACAAAAAGTGTTGAATATTGAATGGCTTAAGACAGACACAAAAGGAAGAACTTTCAGGACAGATGCATGTTAGCATATTAAGGTGTACCAAGGAAGCAAGACTTGCAACATGATTTCCTGATCAGATCAGGTTTCCACCTTAAGTCTAAAGTTGAACATACAGTGCCAGGCTTTCAACAGCAATATTACAGCAGAAGAACTTTGTCCTTACAATAGTTACCTATTCCAAGCAGAGGAGACAGGCTCATATGCCAGGGTCCAAGTGGAAACCAGAGAGAAAATTAATCCAAATGAAGTCTGAGCTATACTCTGAAATAAAAGGAGACGGGGTGGCATGGAGTCTAGATTTATTTAAAGCTGTACACAAGTTAAACATAGCTTTGTTTTTAAAAAAATCACAAGGAACAGTTCTGATAATGAAGGAATAAAATAGCCCAGAAAGAAGTAATAGCTGGGTGAAGTGTCTGGAAAACTCAACACAAACCACCCTATTCCACTGTAAAATTATTACAGGCAGAACCAAATACATTGAAAAGAAAACTTCCTTTCCCTCTGTGTTCCAGACATGAGAGATACATTTCAGCATATGCAAGGCATAAGGTGAAACAAACATGTATGAAAAAGAGTTGAAGTTAAGAAGGATCTAGTGAAAAAGCATCCCTGTTCCCCGACATCCCAAACCTTATCCTGTTCTGGGATTGGTTACTGCTCTTTTCCTCATTCACTCATTACTAAAAAGCTTAGTTTTATATTGGGAAATGGCAGCAGGGAAGGTAATTATACCTTTTTTTACTGCCTCTGAACCATTTCCCTTTGTTTTGGGGCAAATGATGTATCCTTTGCATATATTCTTATCAGAGTATATTCTTGGCAGAGTATACTCTGGGCATACAGCCATTAGAAGCATTCAAAGTTGTATCTCCAAGTAGATATCAATCCATTGTTTCTTAGCTTGATCAAGGCCTGGTCCCAACAGCAACTGGGTATCTGTCTTTTCCTTCCTTCCAGAATACAGAGGTTTCTGAGACTGAGAAAAATCTCTGTCCTCTCTTCCACAGGAAATTGACTAGGACATCATGACTGTCTGAGTCACTTTCATTCGACTCTGTAGCCCTGTAGGCCTTGTTTACTTCCAGACCTCAGATCTGCAAAATAAGACCAGAGCACCACATGTCTGCAGCAGAATCTGGCAACATTTCAATTTGTCTCAACTTTTCTATCCTTTTAGCTTCCAAACAGTTTGCAGATGAAGTGCTAAAAGCCCACAATGACTACAGAAAGAAGCATGGTGCTCCTGCACTAAAACTCTGCAAAAAGTTAAACAGGGAAGCACAGCAGTGAGTACAACTGATTCTGTTCTTGTTAATTTGTTACAAGCTAGCATTGCAGTACTTGTTGGGTTGGATACTCTTGTTTGATAGTTTGGTTCTCAGACTGTTCAAATGTCAAATTACATTGCTTCAGTATCATGATACTGAAGATATAGCAACTTCTAGGCTTGATTTCTGCAATGCAAAGAGTAGCAATAGGGCTCCCCTTGTGCACACTCTGGAAATTGCAACCAGTACAAAATAGGGCAGCCAGGTTGGTTTCTCAGAATCTTGCAGAGCCCACATATCACCCCTGTACTGGCTGCCAATACATTTCCAAATACAATAAACAGTGTTGGTAATTACTTTAAAGTTCTTCATGGCTTGGGTCCAAAATATCTTCAGGAGTGCCTTTGCCCATATATTCTGCCTTTTGCTAATGTCCTCTGGGGATAATCTTCTGAAGTTTGTTTCTGTAAGATTAATGTCAACTATCCCAAGGACTTTCTCACTGGTTGGAAGAGATGTGTCTATTATCCCAGACTGCTATTTTCAAGAGGGAGTTAAAGACATATCTCTTCTTCCCAGAATACTTTTCAGATTAGTTTTATTTAATATGCTGGTTTTTAGTCAAATTTGAATAATTGTTGTTCTTTGTCATGGCCTCTGTGCATCACAAATGGGTTCTGTGCCTGCGCAGTGCCTTTGGCCGGAAGATTGATAGCTAACGGTTTGGCGGGAAAACTCCGCTCCCCTCCCCCCTAGCAGTATATATGGAGCGGAGTGTCCGCCATTTTCCAGTCTTTGCGACCACTGTTCGTTGTGCCTCGTGCCGCTTCACTCTCGCTTAGATCGTTACTTGTATTCTCTTGCTTCGAGTTCTTTTCTCTTTTCCAAGTTAGTATTTCCTCGTTTATATTGCTCTTTACTGTTCCAGCTAGTCTCTTCGTTTTTTCTCTTTCTTCTTGTTCCTATAAAAAAAACCCAAAAATATTATCTGTTCCCGCTATACTATCCTCTCTTTTTCTATTTTTCCCACGATGGTGCAACGAGCGGCGTTCCACAAGTGCGGAGAGTGTGGCTTTAAAATGTCCGCTGCGGACCTGCACGACCTGTGCCTCCTCTGTTTAGGGGAAGGTCATAGGATGGACAAATGCGGCCATTGCCTGGCCTTCTCTAAGCAGGCCAGGAAGAATAGGGAGAACTGCCTACGTAAGCTCCTGTGGGACCAGGCTGTCCTACAATCGGACCGGCTGGTGGCTAAGCCTGCTACAACCTCGGTTGCACCTGACCGCTGTCCGTCTTCAGCTGACCTGCCACAACGTCTGGCCCCTTCCTCTGCTGCTCCACCCTCATGCCCTTCAGGTGAAGGTGCTTCCACCATGGGCGATCAGCCTGTTTCCCTGCCCAAGAAACAGCAGGAAAAGAGGAAACACAGCAGCCCTGATAAGCCGTCTGTGCATAAGAAGGCCAAAAGAGATAAGGCCAAAAAACCAGCCAAAAAACCGAAGAAACCCAAGCATACGAAACATCGACACTCGGGTTTGGCGGCTTCCTCGGTCCTGACCACAGGCGCGGCACCGACGCCCTCGGGCCCGACCATTCAGGCGATGATGAGAGTTACTCCTCCAGCCTCTCCATGCCGTATGGGATCTGAACTGCACCAGGATCCACCTCGCGGCTCGATTTCCGATGGCAAAATTCAAGACTCCTCGCCGAGGGCCTGGTCCCCGATGCCTATGCCGCCTGTTCGGCTCGATACCGAGACTGGAATGTCCCCGCCGAGAAGCCGTAGAAGTCGATCTTCCGACGCCCGATCGAACGACTGGTACCAGTCCCGGTATTCTTCCGCGCCAAAATGGCCCGACTACCCATCCGTCGTATACTACCTGGCTGCTAGAGGTCGATTCCCTCCACCAGCTCCTTGGGATTGTCCCCATTCTACAGCCTCGAGAGATGCCCGGCAGGCACCGTCCAGGGAAAGCGGTAGATCAGAGTCACCAGGGGATTCCTCTTCCAGTGTCCCGGCTCCATATTGGGTGGACTTGGACAAGTCCGAGGTCGATTCGACTTTGCCTGGTGCTGCAGTCACCTCGCAAGGCCCTGCATCACTAGAGGAGCCGCACATCTTGTTTGCTGAACTGATGTCCAGGCTGGTGAAGTCACTGGAAATCGAGGCCAATCAACAGCCCGGTCCCAGCACTGATTGTTTCTACGATGTAGTGCAGGGTGAGCAATCTACCTCCATCGCTTTACCACTCATCACAACTCTCCGACAAGCGATGACCCAACCATGGGACCTCCCAGCTCACCCTCAACCGACTTCGAGAAGATATGAAGCCATGTACCAGGTTCGGGAGGGGGACATTCCGTTCCTCCTCCGCCACCCCAAACTGAACTCGGTGGTGGTGGAGTCTTCTCAAGGCCGGGAGGTACAGGGCCGCACGGCGCCCCACGACAAAGAGGGGAGGAAGATCGATTCCCTCGCGCGCTGGGTCTATGCAGCTTCAGGACTCAGCCTTAGAATATCTAATTATGAGCCGACCTTGGCGCGTTATCAATACTTTATAATGCAGTGCCTGGACAACATCATCGCTGCCCTTCCAGATAACCAAGGCAACTTGGCGCGGGTATTCATAAAGGAGGCCATGCAGGTCACGGTGCAACAGCTATCCACAGCTAGACATCTTGTGGACACGGACTCGAGGGCTCTCATCGGCGCCATCTTTCTCCGGAGACATGCCTGGTTGCGTAATTGCAACTTTCCAGAGGAGATGAAGAGGAGGATCGAGGAGATGCCCTTTGACGGGTCAGGCCTCTTCAACACAATGACTGACCACAAGTTGAAGAAGATCCACGAGTCGAGGATGATGGCCCGGTGCATGGAGTTGCAACCTCAGACTCGACGTAAGTGGTTGTGGACCCGTCCACAATATTGACAGCAATATCCACCCCGACAACAGCCACAGCACCGTCAGCAACGCCGCAGGCAACAACCGCCCCAGCGATTCCAGCAAGACCGCCGCCGCTTTGATGGAGACAAACGCCAGCGTTGATGGGGCAGGCAGATCTTTCCTCTCCTTCCAACCCCACCCTCCCCCCTCTCATTTGGGGACTGGCTGAAAAGCCAACTCCCCATTTGGGAGTCCATCACATCTGATGGGTGGGTGTTATCCATCATTCAGCATGGATATCGAATAGAATTCGACATTGTTCCATCATCAAGTCCCATCTGGTTTACGCCATGCTCACCGGTGTTGTTAGACGAGGTTCGTCAGCTCCTTTCTAAGGGAGCCATTTGTCGTTTATCAGAAGGATTCCACAATTCTATTCTAGATATTTTACGGTCCCGAAACGGGATGGAGATCTTTGACCAATATTGGACCTAAGAGCTCTTAATAAATTTATAACACCAAAGAAGTTTTGGATGACCACACTTCAAAATATCCTGCCATTGCTGAGGAGAGAGGACTGGTTTGCCTTACTCAACTTGAAGGATGCCTATTTTCATATTTTGATCCATCAACGTCATAGGTGTTTCCTCCGGTTTGCGGTTGCTTCTGAAATCTACAAATTCACGGTGCTCCCATTTGGACTGGCCACCGCCCCGAGGGGGTTCACAAAGTGTATGGTCCCTGTCTGCGCATACCTCCGATTACGCGGAGTTCAGATATATCCTTACCTCAATGACTGGCTGTTGGTTTCCTGAACTAGAGAAGGACTTTGTTCCTCTGTAAACATGGCCTGTGACTTATTACAGGACCTTGGACTCTGCATTAACTGTGAGAAATCTTCTCTTCTTCCTACACAGATGATCAACTTTATTGGAGCCCGTCTGGATTCTACAGTGGCGAAGGCCTTCCTTCCTCAAGACAGACAATGCACTATTGCTCGACACATCCATTGAATTCGACAAGATGGAACTGTTCCTGCCCGATCTGTCCAAAGACTTTTGGGGCACATGGCAGCATCCATCGCTGTAGTTCCATATGCCAAGCTTCGACTTCGCCCCCTTCAACTGTTCTTCAACAGAATGTTCCAGCCACAGACAGATTTACCTACGAAGCTGATTCGACTCCCGTCCTCCGTTCTACAATCTCTACTATGGTGGACTGTATCAGACAACCTAAACATCGGAGTCCCGTTCTGACCTCGGTGCCCTACAGTGACTCTCGGTACCGATGCATCTCTGCTGGGATGGGGAGCTCTGTGCTCTGGCCTACACACACAGGGTGTTTGGAATTGACAGGAGTCCAGGAACCATATCAACTTCCTGGAACTTCTTGCAGTATTCAAAGCCCTACAATCATTCAAGGACATTCTTCGCTGTCAAGTTGTCCAGATAACCTCGGACAACATTGCTACAGTCTTTTACTTAAACAAGCAAGGAGGGACGAAGTCTCCAACGTTAGCCCAGCTATCGATGCAAATCTGGGAATGGTGCATACCGAGAGACATTACCTTGATAGCAGTACACCTAGCCGGTACGGACAATGTGGAAGCAGATCTCTTAAGCAGACACATGTCCACATCTCACAAATGGGAACTGGACTGTCAGACATGCGACTGACTGTTCCAGCGATGGGGCCTCCCAGAGATAGACTTGTTCGCCACCTAACAGAACAGGGTGTACGAGACTTTTTGCTCGAGAGTGGGAATCGGACGGGTCATCCAGGGATGCCTTTATGATCCTTTGGAACGATATGATGTTCTACACTTTCCCCCCGATTCCCCTCATTATGAGAGTAATAGCAAAAATAATTCACGACAGGGCCACAGGACTGCTGATAACTCTTTGGTGGCCACGCCAGCCATGGTTCTCGACACTTCTTCACATTTCTCAAGAGGAATATCTTCAACTTCCTTCCATTCCTTATCTCATAACTCAGCGGGAGGGCACGGTCTGCCACCTGGATCTAGCATTGCTGGAATTGACAGCCTGGCAAATTCGATAGCAGTCAACGTCGGCTCGGTACCGACGTCATCTGCAGTTTCTACTGATTCTGTCCCTGGACCTGACACGCCATTCCACATTTCAAATCCATCTACCTCCTCTACATCCTCGGATCCGACGAATGTTCAGTCGGTTTTGCGAGTTTTTCATCCAGACATCCAACGTATTCTTGATTCTGCGCTAAGGCTGTCCACTCGAAAATCGTACGCAGCCAAGTGGCGTAAATTCTCTATTTTTGCTGGATCTCACTCGTTTTCGCCAAACTCTGCATCCATAGATCATATCCTCCAGTTTCTCTTAGAACTCCACCGTTATGGACTTAAACCATCCTCCATAAGAGTGTATACGGCAGCAATTTCCTATTATCATGGTACAGTTCAAGGTTCTTCCATTTTTTCTCAACCATTGGTAAAGAGATTTCTTAAAGGACTCTACAACCTCCATCCGACAGTCAGACCGCTCATGCCTACTTGGAGTCTTTCAGTGGTGCTACAGGCGCTAACAAGACCTCCTTTTGAGCCCTTGGCAACAATTGATTTATGACTTGTTTCTTGGAAAACTGCTTTCCTTGTAGCAGTCACTTCAGCCTGGAGATCTAGTGAACTCTGCGCCCTCACGGTAGACCCTCCATTTTTGAACTTCCATAGGGAGAAAGTAGTTCTATGAATGGATCCGTCTTTTCTTCCAAAAGTAGCTATGTCTTTTCACATGGGCCAGGAGATTGTCTTACCTGCTTTTTTTCCATCTCCTTCGAATCCATTTGAGAGATCCCTGCACACTATCGATGTACAGCATTGCTTAGCCTTCTATAGATCAAGGACTGAGTCTATCTGACATTCCAATAAGCTCTTTGTAAGTACTCTGAAGAAAATCAAGGTTTCCAGTTACTCCTCAGAGACTGTCCAAATGGATAGTTCATACTATTACTCTGTCCTATCAGCTGGCCAAGATAGACTTACCTACAATTCCCAGGGGTCATTCTACTAGAGCTGTAGCTGCTTCTTCAGCTTTTGCATTGGGAGTTCCGATTGAGGATGTCTGCAGAGCTGCCACCTGGGCTACTCCATGTACTTTCACTAGGCATTATAGACTAGATGTTTGTGCTAGACAGGACTGTTCTTTTGGCAGAGCCGTTCTTTCAACTATTCTTCGTTGATGACACCTCCCTCCACCATTTAGGGTAAGCTTGCTATTCTACCCATATGTGTGATGCACAGAGGCAACGACAAAGAAAAGCAGGTCGCTTACCTGTAACTGATGTTCTTTGAGTGGCCATCTGTGCAGTCACACAACCCACCTGCCAGCCCTGCTTGGTGTCATTGGGTGGCTTTAATTTTTTCTTCGGTACCGTGCTATTTTGTTCTTGGTACCTACACAATATTTTTTCTTTTAGCTTAGTTGTAATTTATTTTTAGAGAGAGAACATCCAGTCTGTCAAAGACTGGAAAATGGCGGACACTCTGCTCCATATATACTGCTAGGCAGGAGGGGAGCGAAGTTTTCCCACCAAACTGTTAGCTGTCAATCTTCCAGCCAAAGGCACTGCGCAGGCGCAGAACCCATATGTGTGACTGCACAGATGGCCACTCGAAGGACATGAGTTACAGGTAAGCAATCTGCTTGTTTCAATCTCTTGGGAATGGTACAGAATGTGAAATTAGAATGAACAAACAAACAAGAACAAATAATAATTACATCCTATGATGGCGTCCTCTTTTTCAAGAGGAATTAAATCTTTCTGAAAACATGCTTTTTGTTGGAAGGAAAATTTACTGTTTAAGACTGTAGCCTCAAGAGCAGCCTTCACTGCCATGCTGTTGCTGTTGAAGTTCAGCAGCATCCAGCCTCACTTTTGGGGCCTTAAAGATCATAACTTACATTAATGTTGTTCAAGAGGGCTTTCTGTTCATATTATGGAAGAAGAGTGTTAAAGGAATATTTAAATTTTAGTATAGGAATTGACTTCCCTAGCTTCCTGGCTTGTTACTGAGAAAAGTATGTAGCTAATGCTCCTGGAGATACTCTGGCTTGTCCAGGATTGTGTTCCTGGCATCCATGTGTGACTAATCCAAACATGACTTCACTGGCTTGTGCACCTCCCATCTTGGGTGGCAAAAGAAATAAAACACCCACCACACAGCAGAATGTATGCCTTTAAAGTGCTTTACACTCAGAGCTAAATGTGAGTGATAGGATCAGCTGTGGCCCTGTTGCCTTGACAGTGGGAGCTCAATCCTGCCTTCAGAAAGTTTCATGAGAGGAGTCAGGACTCTCACAGGATTGTAGAGGGTGTAGTTGTATACTTGGCAGATATTAGGGCTAGGATTAGATGTGGGAGTTCAAGCAGAAGACAGCTTGGATCTTTGCTCCACTGCTGTGGGATCAGAATGAGCCAGATGGTGCTGAACTTTTTCCTTCTATTTCCAAGGCAAGGGAGACAAAATCCAGGAGGGGCTCCTTCATTTAGGGCCCTTCCCACTAAATCCCTTTTGCATTTGTACCAATTCTGTGCTTTCTGTTTCTGCCAAAGCAGTTTGTATAAACACAGTACTAAATGTGATTGGTTTACTGTTGTGTAATGAGCATGTTGTTGTTATTCGAGGTACTCAGAAGCACTTGCTAGCACAAGAATCCTCAAACACAGTCCTGAATCTAGCAGTGGGAAATGTGGAGAAAATCTAGCATGGGCTTCTTATGATCAATCAGGTAAGATGAGTCTTTGCTGCTAGATAGGAAATGCTCATAAAGCTGAAGAGTTCAAAGAGATTCTTCCAAAAGTTAAGAAAAAAATGCAATATATGGTTCAATAGCAAAACAACTATTTTTTCAAAATTCTGTAGACTAGGGATGGGGAAAGCTTTTTGGCCAAGAGCCAAAATGTGGCAGTGGATGCATATGCTAGTAGTGGACAGGACAACAGCCCAAAGCAGGCAGGATTGCCTAGCACTCTTCCTTGGTGTGATTGATTGAATTTGAGACACATGTGCAAACTTCATTCTCTCAAACCATCTTTGGTTCCCATGTCTGTCCCACTCTCCCTTTCTACCTGCATAGCCAGCTTGATTCAGTAAAGCTTCTTTATTCTGAGCTGGTGCTGACTGGAAAAGTTGAAGGGACAGTGAAAGGTGGGTGAAACCCACTGAGCTGCTGGAGCACTCCTCAAAGGGTTGGATCAGACCAGAGCCAGCTTCACCCCCACTCCCTGCAACCTTTCCCAATTGGTAGTACAAACATCAGAAAGAAGCTGATTGAGTTACAGGCTAAGGCAGGGGTCGGCAACCCGCAGCTCTGGAGCCGCACATGGCTCTTGAACCCCTCTGCTGCCACTCAGAACATGCGCCAGCACAGCCGCTGATCTGCTCGAAGCTCCACTCAGGAATGCAGTGCTAGCTAGTTAAGTAAATCAGCTAGTTAAGTAAATCACTACATTCTTCTGCTAAACAAACTTCCTGCAGGCTCTCATGTTACATAGAAACACTGCTGAAAAGATTCTCTTTGTCCCAATGTAATCTCCTTCATCTGAATGTTAAAAGCTGCACTTGGGATCTGTCACAATTCGCAGCACTTGACTGTTTATCTGCTAATCAGTCACTAAACACACCTATATCTCCGGTATATCTGGGGATCCATGCTGATTTACTGAGTTCCTCCCCTCCCCCATAGGCCAACAATGGATAAATCAAAGAAAAGTTTCTGAAGAAAACCAAACGTTTAATGATATGTGGGTAGATTCATTTGCTTTTACTGCTGACAAACTGCTGTTTGCTGTTTAATACATGCAGCCCTTTAGCACTGACTTTAAGTCTTCAGGAAGCTGTTCTCCTATTCAAAATATATGAAAGGAGTCCTACTAGTTTATAATGTAAGATTACAAATAACAGTTTTTAGTGACTGAACAAGAGCTGCAGCTAAAACATAATGAAGATATACATAGCATTAAGGTAAAAAATGATATATGCAGTGTTATCTTCATTTTAGATATCAAAAGGGTTTTGTGGCTCCTGATGTTTTCTTTTGTGTGGGAAATGGGTCCAATGCTCTTTAACACTGTTTGAGTGTTAAAGGTTGCCAACCCCTGGGCTAAGGGAATGGCTCCTAAAAGCCATAGCTCAGTCTGGAGCCCCTCTTCTGTCTTCATTCCCTTCTCATAGCATAATTCTCCTTCAGTCAGCCTCCCTCCACCAGGTGCCTTCAAGATGTGTTGGACAACTTCCCGCATTCGTGAGTATTGGCTATACTGGCTGAGCAAATTCTGTATGTTATAGTTAGGGATGTACAGCTTTTGTTTAATCTATTCCATCTGTTTTTCACAGATGGTCAGCAGTCTTTTGTTCCATTGTCTGCTCACTCACAGAATCTGGGAAGCTTTTTAGGGATGCATTTTGTTCTACTTGTGCTAATGTGCATTAGTGCTAATGCAAATTCTCCCCTCCCCACACACACGTAAATAAAACATTCTGCAAGTTAGTGGAATCCATGCAACTTGGAAAAAGCTTATGTGTTGCAGAATATGGAAGCTGGCTTCATAGAAATCCAAATTTATTTGAATCTCTTGTGGATTTCTTGAATAACCCCAGCTGTAATCTGTGTGATCTGGCACATCTGGAGACAACCAGCTTGGAGAAGGTGTCTTAGAAATTCTAACTGAAATTAATTTTTCTGGTGGTCCAAATGAGAAAAGGAATGTGGCATCCAGGGTCATTTTTCAGGGACACTGGGTTTTTGTTTGGTGATTGCATCGAGTGTTTTGCTAAACTTACACTGCAGAGATTAATAAAATCTCTAAGACTTGAGGGGATGCAAAGACTTGGCTCTGTATAACAGCCTTTTCACCATTCACAGATGAAGTCCCCTGTACAGAGCTTTCAAAATGCATTTGCCAAGCAAGCACACATAGCTGGTACACACACTTGCTCACTCAGTTCAACAAGGAAATAGCTCTGTGCGTGCATGCCTTTATGCAAGTTCTCCTTGCCTTCCCTGAAGCAAATGGTCAAACCTTTGCAGGAAGGGAAGCTAAGTATACATTTAAATCTTGTAGACTCCAGCCTGTGAGAGTTTTTGTGCAATTTAAGAAATTCTGAAATAGAAAGCATGACAAAGTTGCTTTTTTCCCTCATGTTTGAGGAAGGGAAACTTGTTGTGCAACAAAAGGCATGTGCTCCTTCTTCACTGTTTCTTAAGAATGCTTTGAAACACTTTGCCTAGTACAGATTCTACATCCCCCATCTTATCCATGTGATCCTGGTATAGCTCAATACTTTCTCCTTCTTGGCATCACAGCTTATCTACCTTCTACTGGCCTGATACTCTGTCCCACCTCCTTCTTAGGGAAGGGTGAATCAATCTATTTCATCCTCCAGTTTGTCTTATATCTACATTAATTTGTATGGATTTATTTTTAATTTGCATAATAAATCACATTTAAATATGTGTGTTGAACACATTTTCCTTAAAATATGGAATTTTAAAAATAGGTACATTTTTGAGACAGAATCAGAGCATATGGGAAGTATAAATGCACAAGGATAAGAAAGTTCCAATATGCTGGTTAGTCAGGGAGATTCATTTCGAGTTCATTCATATCAAAAATTACAAAGTTTGGATTCATTCAGCATGCTTTATTCCTTGCCCCTTTCTCCTATTCTCTGTAGCTAGAAGGAAAGGAAGACTTTTGCAAGAAATTTGCCTTCCCAGATTTTGGCTGACTGTGGATTGCTTTTTGCTCTTCTGTCTGCTCTTCTATGTAAAACTCTTGCCACTGAATAGCAATCCTATGGCTGTACTGATCTATTTGGAAATGTCGTGAGCAGAGCCAGCTAGAGCCGGAGGTCAGACTAGATGGCCCAGAAGGTCCCTTCTGACTTGCGCTGTTTCTGTTTCTATGTCTCCTTGCTAATAGCTATGGCTTTCTGCTGTCTAGTGTCTTCCCCATAATTCTTGTTTTTTGAAGTATATTTGGATACCAAATTCTACCTTTACAAAGACCAGAGAAAGACATTTTCTAAAATCCAGTTATAATATATGTACTAGGCCAACTCAAAGGTCACAGAAATGTGCCAACACTGAAAAACTTAAAATCTCTCTGTTAGGATGCTACCAAAAGTAGATGGTGGGGTGGAGGGAGAGGAAAAGAGAGCCAATTCATAATTCCATTATTCCATCATTGCCCCCATCTGCTTTTCATAACATCTTGCCTAATGATTTTGAGAAATGTGCACATTTTATGCCATTTGAGTTAATGTAATGAAGGCATTACATTAATGGGGATTTTTGATTTCTTTGTTTTTAATATCGATAGAGTTCCTAAAATGTAAAAAAAAATCTGTAAACATCATAAGCACATGGCAATTTTAAACTGACACTGCTAGTCTAAAAGCTATTAAAAGAGGCCTTGAAAGAGGCCTTTTCGGCCTCCAGTGCATCATTGCATCTTTTACTTCCTTGTATACCCAGCAGCTGTAAGTTACTGAGAATGATGTGTGCTGCCTCCTGTGAGATATTTCTCAGTCCCATTTCTCTTGTTTTAAGGAGAGCGACAATTTAGAATTAATCACATACTTAAATTTTCCACTCTCCCTCCAGTGAGTTCCAGGTGGCATACATAGGATTTATCCCATTTTAACCTCATAGCAACCCTGTAGGATAGGCTGAGAGAATCTTTCCACAGACAAATAGTGCCCCCAGCACATGCATGATATCTAGCTGTTCATTTTATGAGCAATCTGTAAGCATCTCCCTGTGTCCCTGTCTTTAGACAACTCAAATACCCTCTGACCCACCAGCATGATGCATTCAACTGGCGGGTACTAAAGAGAAGGCTTGATCAGTAGTGGCCTCACACTTTTGCAACTCTCTTTCCAGGAACTCCCTTTAGAGCAGGGGTCCTCAAACTTTTTCAACAGGGGGCCAGTTGAAAGGCAGTGGGCACGGGCCGGTGAGGCAGTGGCGCGTGCAGTGAGGCAGTGGTGTGCGCACGCATGGCAAGGTGGTGGTGCGCACATGTGCGGCAAGGCCACAGTGGGCACGCGCAGCAAGGCAGCGGCTTGCTTGCTCAGAGATTGTTTTCTCCAAGCAAGTCCAAAACGATCTCCGTGCAAGCAAGCTGCTGCCTTGCCACGCGGGCGCATCATGAGGTGGGCAGCAGCAGCGGGCGCTGCAAGTCCAAAACCTCTGAGGTGGGCTGGATAAATGGGCATGGCGGGCCAGATCCAGCCTGCAGCCCGTAGTTTGAGGACCCATGCTTTAGAGTCTCATCACTGCTAGCTTTTAACTAACCAACCAGCCAACTTGAAGACACACTTGTTCCTGTCTGGGATTTACTGGTTAAAAGTCATTTTCTGCTTCGGCTATGTGTGCGTATTTAACCCTGTCTTCATGTTTTTGAAATATCATATGCTGCCTTGTGAGGAGAGTGCAGGCTGAAAGGCAAATTAAAAATCCTTTAAATAAATAAAATACAATACATGCAGTCAGCACCTCAATCATGGTTGATCTTATTGCTGTGTGGAGGCTATGAATTGAAAACTTATAAGAAAAAATAATGAAATAATTTAATGTATGTACATGTCATCATATTACTGAAAGCTAGCTACTAGGGCCTTTTAAAAGTGAAAGTATAATTTCATGAAATATGAAATACATGAAATTATATGGTCAAATTTCACTTTTTCTATCTTAATTATTTAAAATTGTGTTATGGGTGCTGTTGTTATTTGTTTTTTGGCACCAGGCCAAGACCTTTTTATTTAAACAATATTTTAATTGTTAACTGTTGTTTTTATTTATTGGTTTTATGATACAGCCAAGATGCTCCGAATTTTTAATGTTTATTCTATGTTTGTTTTTTCCTGCTTTGTAAGCCACCCTGAGGCTTTCTGCGATGGGGGCGGCATAAAAATGTTATAAATAAATAAATAATGTGTGTGATTTTGTAACATGATTTTGATAACCTATATCTGAAATAGGTTGATAACCTATATCTGAAATTGGAAGTGAAGATTAAACTGGTAATTAGACTGTTCACTCCATCCATTGTAATGCCACCCCATATCGTTTCATCTTTCAGGGAAAGAAGTAGCTGACAGATGGTATGATGAAATAAAAAATTACAACTTTCAGAGCCCAGGATTTTCCTCTGGGACAGGTGAGTGTGGGCTTGGCATTGCTTCTTTATGTATACTGTAAAAGGAAATGTCAGACTTCCCAATGAATTCCAGAAATCTAAGCGTGCACATAAGCATTTCTTTGTGCTATAACAGAGAAAGAAAGTATTCTGTTAAAAACTTCCAACAGGAAGCTGTGGGTGGCCATATTTTTGACTCATAGGAATATGAGGAACTGATATGTCATTTTTAACTGCCTCCTAATATCACGATTTCAAAATACATTGATTCCAAAGAAATGCACATTTTACTTTTCCAGGAGGTGGCAGATACACCACTTAGGTATTTTACCAACTATGTTATGTTAACCTTTGCACTGGGCTGTATTCTGCATTTATATTCTTGAAATTACAGGTGCTATCTGGGGTTTATATATGCAGTTCTTGCTATTTTGGTAATTTAATAATCATGTTTAGAAATCATAGTCTAAGGGTACAATGCTATCACCCATGCCCTCGATGCATGTAGGGCACCCATAAGAATGATACGATCATAGACCAGTAGAGTTGAAAGCCACCAAGAAAGCCATCAGGACCAACCTCAGTGCATGTCTCCAAGTTAAACCATCCCTCTCAGATAGCTGTCCAGATGCATCTTGAATACCTCTGGTGTGGGAGAACCTGCAGTCTCCTTAGGTAATAGGTTCTTCATCGTGGCCTCTGTGCATCACACATATGGGTGCTGCGCCTGCGCAGTGCCTTTGGCCGGAAGATTACAAGCTAATGGTTTTTGGCGGGAAAGCTCTGCTCCCCCTCCCCCACAGCCTATAAAGAGCGGAGCGTCCACCATTTTGTTCAGTCTTTGCGACCGCTGTTCACTGTGCCTCGTGCTGCTTTCGACTATCGCTCTGACCGTTACTTGTATAGTACTTCTTCTTCTCTATTATTCTCCCAGTTATTATATCCCTGTTAGTTCTCGTCTCTATAGTTCTTGTTAGTTCTGTAGTTCTATCGTTCTACCTTCCTTTTGATCTTCTATTAAAAAAAAAACCCAAAAATATATTCTTACCCTCTGCACTGTCTTCTTTTTTCCCATTTCTTGCGATGGTGCAGCGAGCGGCTTTCCGCAAATGCGCGGAATGCGGGTCGAAGATGTCTCCATCTGACCCGCATGACCTATGCCTCCTCTGCTTGGGGGAGGGGCATAGGACCGACAAGTGCTCTCGCTGCCTGGCCTTCTCTAAGCAGGCCAGGAAAAATCATGAGAACCACCTCCGGAGGCTCCAGTGGGATCGGGCTCTCATGCAGTCCGACCCACTCGTCGTCACTCCAAAGCCTGGCCCTACCACAGTAGTCCCGCCCTCACGCCCTTCAGATGAAGGCGCATCTACCATGAGGGCTCCACCCACTTCTCTGAAGAAGAAGTGTGAGAAGCATAAACATGCTGATACTGATAAATCAGCAAAGAAGGCCAGGAAGGAGAAGCCTCCAAAACCGACTCAGAAGTCGAAGGACCCGGAGTGCCCATGGCACCGTGACTCGGGTTTGGCGGCTGCTTCGGTACCGGCAGCAGCTACTGTACCGACTCCACCCAAGCCGGTACTCCAGGCAGCTATGAGGGTTACCCCCCAAGGGTCCCCTCGACGTGTGGCCAACCTTCCCACCAAGCTGCTGCCAACTCTTCAGCGGGGGTCGATTTCTGATGGGGAAATTCAAGACTCTCCCCCCAGGGCTAGGTCACCCACGCCTATGCCCATGGCCATGATGGAGGCGGATGTGGTTATATCCCCGCCTAGGGTCCGCAGGAGCCACTTGAGGGAGCAGCGATCTGAGGGATGGCATCACTCCTACTATCCATCCTGGGGCAAGCCATACTCTACCGGGTACTATCATGCACCGAGGGATCGGTCCCCACCACCTTCCCGCAACCGCCCGCTGTCTTTGGATCTGAGGCACGCATCCCCGATTCCTCGGGATGAAAGTAGCCAGTCTGTCTCGCCAGTGGAGTCCTCTTCTTCGGCTCCCCTGTATTACAGCGCGGACTCTGACGACTCGGACATCGATTCCACCTCTCCCGACGTCGCTGTGACCTCCCAGGGCCCTGCATCACCGGATGAGTCCCATGTCTCCTTCATGGAGCTGATGTCCTGGCTTGTCCAGTCCCTGGATATCAACGCTGTCCAGCATCCGGGACCTTTGATGGACAAATTTTATGACGTCGTCTGCGGGGAGCAGCCCACCTCAATCGTCCTGCCTTTGATCACCACCCTACGGCAGGCGATGACGCAACCCTGGGACTTGCCTTCTCACCCTCAATCCACGTCGCGGAGGTACGAATCCATGTACCAGGTTCAGGAGGAGGACATCCCATTCCTCCTCTGCCACCCCAAGCCGAACTCGGTCGTGGTGGAGTCCTCCCAGGGTAGAGAGGCAAGAGGCCACACCTCTCCGCAGGATAAGGAGGGCCGTAAGATCAACTCCCTGGCCAGGAGAGTCTACGCAGCTTCAGACCTGGGGCTGTGTATTTCAAACTATGAGGTGATGTTGGCGAGGTACCAGTACTTTATAATGCAACGCCTCCACAACGTCATCTCGGTCCTCCCAGACCACCAGGGCGACCTGGCCAAGGTGCTAATAAAGGAGTCGATGCAGGTTGCCGTTCAGCAGTTGTCCACAGCCAGGCAGCATGTGGACACCAACTCAAGAGCCTTGGTTGGTGCTGTCTCTCTCCTCAGGCATGCATGGCTGAGGAGTGCCAACTTTCCGGAAGAGACTAAGCGCTGAATTGAGGAAATACCCTTTGACGGGTCCGGGCTTTTCCATTCCAAGACAGATCATAAACTCAAAAAACTCCATGAATCCCACATGACGGCCCGATGGATGGAACTCCAGTCGCAACCAAGGCGTAAGTGGGCATGGACCCATCTGCCCTAAAGACAGCTTTACCAATCCAGGCAACACCCTCAGCACAGGCAGCAGCAACAACAACACTGACGACAACAGCCCCAACAATGCTACCAACAGGGACGCCACCAATATGACGATAGGAGGCAGCGTTGACGGGATGGGCGAACCATTCCTCTAACCTATCCCATATCCACCCCGCTGTCATCTGGGGACTGGCTGCGAAGCCGACTCCCCCTTTGGGAGTCCATTACATCTGACTGGTGGGTATTGTCCATCATATAGCATGGCTATCAGATAGAATTTGACATCGTTCCTCCATCGAGTCCGATCCGGTTTACATCATGCTCGCTGGTACTGCTCAATGAAATACAACAACTTCTTTATAAAGGAGTGATTCGTCAAATAACTCAACATGACGGACTTCACGGATTCTACTCCAGATATTTTACGGTCCCCAAGCAGGATGGTGGCCTACGTCCGATTTTGGACTTACGTAATCTGAATCAATTCATCATGACGAAAAAGTTTCGAATGACCACCCTCCAAAATATCTTGCCGCTGCTAAGGAAAGAGGATTGGTTCGCCTCATTGGTCTTGAAGGACGCCTATTTCCATATTGCAACTCATCCCAAATATAGGCGTTTCCTTTGCTTTGCTGTTGCTTCTGATTTGTACGAATTTACAGTTCTATCCTTCGGTTTGGCCACCGCTCCGAGAGTGTTCACTAAATGCATGGCCCCTGTCTGTGCTTTCCTATGCCTCCAGGGCATACAAGTTTATCCTTACCTGGATGACTGGCTCTTGGTCTCCAGGTCTAGGGAAGCACTCCTCACTTCCATCCGTATTACCTGTGCCTTATTGGACAATCTGGGCCTCTGCATTAATACCGAGAAATCTTCTTTTCTTTTGGTACAGAAGCTTACATTCATCGGAGCCCACTTGGATTTGACGTTGGAGAAGGCCTTCCTCCCTCAGGACAGACAACTGACTCTCGCTCGACACATCCATTGAATGCGACGAGATGGGACGGTTCCAGCGAAGTCCATCCAGAGGCTTCTAGGCCATATGGCTTTCTCCGTTGCTGTGGTACCACACGCCAGACTTCGACTTTGTCCTTTGCAGCTATTTCTCAACAAAGTGTTCCATCCACAGAGAGATCCACCATCGAAGTTGCTCCGAGTTCCATCCTCGGTGCTCCACTCTCTACTATGGTGGTCGGTCCCAGCCAATTCGACTGTTGGGGTCCCCTTCAGGCCCTGATGCCCATCGATAACCGTCGGTACCAACACGTCTCTTCTGGGGTGGGGAGCGGTGTGCTCCGGCCTGTATACCCAGGGCATGTGGACTCATCAAGAATCCACAAATCATACCAACTTTCTGGAGCTGTTGGCGGTATTCAAAGCCCTGTGCTCTTTCGAGGATGTTCTTCAACATCGGGTTGTTCAGATAACGTCGGACAACATAGCCACCGTCTTTTATCTGAACAAACAAGGTGGGACGAAATCTCCAACCCTGGCCAGACTTTCTATGCAGATCTGGGACTGGTGCATTTCAAGAGACATTACACTAATGGCAGTCCATCTGGCCAGTACGGACAATGTGGAAGTGGATCTCCCACGAATGGGAACTAGATCCTCAGACATGCAATGATCTTTTTCATCTCTGGGGGTTTCCCGACGTGGACTTGTTCGCCACCCAACAGAACAAGGTGCGTGAGACTTTCTGTTCGAGAGCGGGAATCGGGTGCGAATCCCTAGGGGACGCCTTCATGATCCCATGGAACGACCTGAATTTTTATGCCTTCCCGCCGATTCCTCTTGTGATGAGAGTCATAGCGAAGATTGTATCCGATCAGGCCACGGGGAGACTGATTACCCCTTGGTGGCCACACCAACCTTGGTTTGCCACACTGCTCAACATCTCTCACGGGGAATACCTTCATCTTCCACTGCTTCCGTACCTCATAACCCAGCAGGACGGTGCGTTTCGCCATCCAGATATACTGTCATTGAAACTAACAGCGTGGCGAATCCGATAGTTAATTTTGCTACATCTGTACCGACGGCAACTTCAAGTGGTTCGAATCCTGCCCTCGAATCCGCTGCATTCAGAACCTTCAAATCCGCTGGGGTCGGCGCTGCTTTCTCTTTCGATCTACCAGCACTGTCAGATCCGACGATTGTTCTGCCGAATCCGACAACCTTTCATCCGGACATTCAACACATCTTGGATTCTGCTCTAAAGCCTTCCACATGGAAGTCTTACGCGGCTAAATGGAGACGATTTTCCACCTTTGCCGAGTCTCGTTCGTTCTCTCTACTTACATCATCAATACACCAAATTCTTCAGTTCCTCTTAGAACTGCACCACTCTGGACTGAAACCATCTTCGATTAAAGTGTATACTGCAGCAATCGCCTATCATCATGGCATGCTGGACGGATTGTCCATCTTCTCTCAACCTACTATTAAGAGGTTTCTGAAGGGGCCTTATAATCTGAATCCATCGATTCTTTTTGAATCCTTTCGAACCGTTAGCAACAGTCGATTTACGTCTTGTTTCGTGGAAGACAGTGTTTCTAGTGGTGGTTACCTTGGCCCGAAGGTCCAGTGAGCTCTGCGCTCTCCGCTTAGATCCACCTTACCTCAACTTTCATAGAGAAAAGGTCGTCCTGCGGCTTGATCCATCTTTTCTCCCTAAGGTGTCCACTCCCTTTCGTATGGGACAAGATATCAATTTGCCTGCCTTTTTTCTGTCTCCGTCGACTCCGCTAGAGAGATCATTGCACTCACTTGACGTTCGGTGCTGTTTAGCCTTCTACAGATCTAGGACAGAATCTATTCGGCGCTCAAATAGACTTTTCGTTAAATATGCTACCAGAGATCAAGGCACCCCTATCACTCCACAGAGGCTAAGTGGATAGTCCATTGATGATGTATGTCGGGCTGCTACTTGGGCGAACCCTTGCACTTTCGCCAAACATTATCATTTAGACGTTCGGGCTTGACAAGATTGCTCCTTCAGCAGAGCCGTTCTTTCATCTGTTCTTCGTTGAGGACACCTCCCCTCCTCCATTATGGTAAGCTTGTTAATCTACCCATATGTGTGATGCACAGAGGCCATGACGAAGAAAAGCAGGTTGCTTACCTGTAACTGATGTTCTTCGAGTGGCCATCTGTGCAGTCACACAACCCACCCGCCAGCCCCACTCGGTGTCGGTGAGTGGACTTTTTCATCGGTACCGAACATTTCCATTATTTCTTGGTACCAATCTAGTTCACAGTAGAACTAATTTTTCCCACATGGGGGCGTCCGTTCGGTCGTCAAAGACTGAACGAAGTGGCGGACGCTCCGCTCTTTATAGGCTGTGGGGGAGGGGGAGCAGAACTTTCCCATCAGAAACCATTAGTTTGTAATCTTCCAGCCAAAAGCACTGTGCAGGCGCAGCACCCATATGTGTAATTCAACAAGATCTTTCTTGAGGTTCTTTTCAAGTCAATTCACTGTAGTTTACATGCCTAAGTCTCAGGTTACCCATTTGTCATGGGTTTTGCTTCTGAATGTTCCACCACAACTGTGATGAGGCTGCTTGAGAGGTTTAAAAGCTATCAGCTGGCTGATAATTTGCCTTCCTCCTGACTTAAGCAGGAATAAAAACAAATATGGCTAAATGCATTACTTGTTGGTCACATCCATATGCAGTGCAGGAGGCATAGTTTTCAAACAACATCTACAGATGGACACTGAAGGTCAGTGTTTAAGGCTAGAGACAATGGACTCACCAGAAAGGTGGCTGCAAAAGTCCCTATGTGCTCTTTTTGTTTGAATTTGCCCTGGCTGAATTCCAGCAATTGTAGAGGTTTCTCCCATACTTTTTCTAAGCCAGATTGAAGATCAAATATTGTTCCCAAGTAGCAGAGTATAGGAGTACTTTCTAATATCAGTGTCAAAGTAAGTTAGAGCCCTTCTTGGAATACCTTGACCACATATATTCCTTTATTTTTAGGTTGCTTCTCAGTACACCAGGGGTGTCAAACCTCAGGGTTGCAGGCTAAATCTGACCCTTCAGGGTTCTCCAGAGGGCCACATACCCTTCCTTTGACCCCACCCATTTCCCATGACCACCAATTGTTTGTGGCTTCTCAGCCTTGAGGCATGTTTTTCCCCAGTCTAAAAAGGCTGAAATATCTCTCCTAAGGCTTAGTTACTGGCAGCAAGGGATTAATGCTAAACTATGCCACATATTTTGTTCCTGCCTCATTTTATCCAACACTGGAATGTGGCTCCTGTGAGCTTCTCCAGGTTTGAATTCAAGGACTTGTATTCTGCACTGCACATGACAAATACAAATTTATCACCATAACTTTTGAAAACTTGCACAGCCTATTATGGCATATCAGATCACCCTAGCAAAGATATTGCTTAACTGTTAGCACTTTTCAGTGACTGCAAGAATAACAGTTCTTAAACTCTTATCTCCAAGGTTAAAGAGATCTACCAGACTTGAATTCCTTACAGCAATTCCTGTGACACTCATAGTTTGGCATCTCTTTGATCTTGCTGAACCTAGCCTGATATCCTTGTCTAAAGTTAATATGTTTTATATGGCTTTTTCTTGCAGGACATTTCACAGCAATGGTTTGGAAGAACACAAAAAAGATGGGAGTTGGAAAGGCAGCAGCAAGTGATGGCTCAACCTTTGTGGTGGCCAGATATGAACCTGCTGGCAATATTGTAAACCCTGGTCACTATGAACAAAATGTTCTACCACTGAAAAAGTAACTTGGTCAGGGGGAAAGGACTGTTTTAAACAGCTAGCAAAAAGCAAAATTGTGAATTGAACAGACCTTTTTATAATAAACAAAGTTAAATTGGTACCCCTTGCTTCAAACCAATGTCCAAAACTTACTGCAGAGGTGTCAACTTCAGGCACACTTGACAGAGAAGCCATACTGCCTACCAAAAAGCACTTTTGTCTGGAAGCAGTGCAAAAGGATAGAAGAGCGGCAACAAGCCCAAAATGTGGAATATGCAAAAATGAGTTCATGTGAGAACATAATGGCTTATGACTGTATTTGTGCAGGGTCCCCTTTTAAAAAGGCATATATACACTTTGATTAAAATCATTGGAGGAATTTTAGATTATTCTTCTATCAATTGCTGATTTCCAATGTTTTTAACTAATAAACTGTCTGATGCATGTTTGCCAGTCATGCTCAGCTGCACTGCAAATAGCCCAAGGCAAGTTGCTTATTGCTGAACAACCCACAATATGCCTGTCAGATCAGTGGGCTAAATGTGGGTTGTTCTACCCCTTGCAGTCCTCCAGCTGGTTCTGACATGTATCCCAGCATCCTTCACAGCAGAACCCCTTCTCCACTCCAATCACTACTCCTTTTCATTTGCTGCCATTTCTTAGTTTTTCAGAGCCTCAAAAAAGTTGAATTGCAGGGGTGGAGTTTGGCCCCTCAAAACTGTATGAATATGTTCCTAAAGTTTTGGTCAGGATTATTTTGTTAGCTTTTTGAAAGTATGTTCTTCCAACTGTCCCATATAAATAGTCTTTCATGGTCAATTTTCTTGTCAGTTTCAGGTAAGAGCTTAACAAGATGAACTGAAGAAATACACATATTTAATGGCTGAGAAATAAATGTTGTTGTTGTTAGTCACGAAGTGGTGTCCGACCCATCGCAACCCCATGGACTACATTCCTCCAGGCCTTCCTGTCTTCCACCATCCCCCAGAGTCCACTCAAGCTCACACCAACTGCTTCAGTGACTCCATCTAGCCACCCCATTTTCTGCCGTCCCCTTCTTCTGTTGCCATCTATTGTTCCCAGCATTAGGTTCTTTAGAGAGTCCTTCCTTCTCATTAGGTGGCCAAAGTATTTGAGTTTCATCTTCAGGATCTGGCCTTCTAAAGAGCAGTCAGGATTGATCCCCTCTAAGACTGACTGTTGATATTTCTACCGACATTCTTAATTCCAACTGGTGATTTATCTAAATAGGCAGGGCGACAGTATACAGCCTTGCCGAACTCCTTTCTCAATTTTGAACCAATCAGTGGTTCCATGTCCAGTTCTCACTGTTGCTTCTTGACCCAAATACAGGTTTCTAAAGAGACAAATAAGATGGTCTGGTACTCTCTTCTCTTTAAGAACTTGCCACAATTTGTTGTGATCCACACAATCAAACGCTTTAGCATAGTCAATGCAGCAGAAGTAGATGTTTTTCTGGAACTCCCTAGCTTTCTCTATGATCCAGCGTATGTTGGCAATTTGATCTCTAGTTCCTCTGCCTCTTTGAAATCCTGCCTGCACTTCTGGTAGTTCTCGGTCCACCTACTGCTGGAGCCTAGCTTGTAGGATTTTGAGCATAACTTTGTTAGCATGTGAAATGAGTGCAATGGTGTGGTAGTTTGAATGTTCTTTGGCATTGCCCTTCTTTGGGATCTGAACTTTTCCAATCCTGTGGCCACTGTTGAGTTTTCCAAGTTTGCTGGCATATTGAGTGTAGCACTTTTACTGCATTGTCTTTTAAGATTTTGAATAGCTCAGCTGGAATACTGTCACCTCCACTAGCTTTGTTGTTGTCCAGACTTCCTAAATGGAGGGGGAATTTGCACACCTGTAGTAATGGAGAAGTTGATGCCCAGATTTTCCCTCTGTTAACTTTCCAGCCATTAAATTTGCTTATACTTTCTGTTTTTAGAACTGTCAAGGAACAGTAGTAATTGCAGCAGTAAGTGCCCTGAAAGGAGCAGTTGAAAGGAGAGGGAGTTAATACATCCCTTTTCTGGAGTTGGAAAACATTGAAAAGTGTCAGCACTTAAAAGGATCATGTCACCAGTGGGGAGATGTTATTCCCCAGTTTCCATATTCTTATTCCTTTGGGGCCCTTTTCATTTTCAATGCTTGTTTGTGCCACCTCCTTTCTTTTATTACTGTTTTCCACCTGTCCTTTATAACTGTCTTGCCAATACTCATATTCTATAGTTAAATGCACACATAAATGTTTAATAATGATTTAAAAATAAAAGACCCCAATTGTACATTTCTGGACACCCAAAAATTAAAAGCTGGGGAATAAACGGTCCTTCCAAAATATTGTTTTGACATCACTAAAAGGTCAGTCACTATTGAGATCACAAAAAGAGAGCAAACACAGCCATTTTTTGCCAACCAGCTCTGTAGACTATTATGGCACCCAGGATAAAGTCAGTCTCCTATATTCAGACAAGACAAGAATCTGTCAAGGACAGGAACAACCCTGAAACAAATCATAGGTGTTTTGCATGGCTTATTCCCCAAAAGTAGCCACTCCATGGAACATGCTTCCAGTTTGAATGACATGCAACCCACCATGACTGGCTTCCAATGGTGGATGTCATGTTGTGTGAACCAGTCTTTGTGTACAGCTAGGTTGTGATTAATGTGAGTTCAAATAATGTGATATTTGATTTAGTGCAAATTGTACAATGATACCAGGTCACATTTAATGTGAACCAAAATTCAGTTAATGAAAGACTAATGCATGTGCAGTTGAGGTTAGTGGGATACCATTAGAGTTTTACATCCTGCTACTTCAATCTGTACTTGTTTATCTTTTCATCTGCATGTGCTGCCAACTGCCTTAATAAACATTGATTTTTGCAATTTGTTTTAATCATTTAACAAGTATCCTTAACAAAATGGTCAAAAGGAAGATTCCTTCAGATAAAAACATGAGTACAAAAACAAAGAGGCTTGTTAGTACATCAGAGCAAAAATTTGATGTGATTGAGTGACATGAACATGGTTCTAGCAACTCTAAAATAGGACAAGATGTTGGAATGCCAGAATCTACAGTACAGAATATTATCAAACAAAAGGGAAATAAAAGGTAAAGCTGCATAAGCTTTTTGTGGTTTGCAGCCATCTACAAGTGTTACACATGATAGAAATAGAGCTGGGACCATTGAGTTGGAATCAGTTACCACATTTTAGATATCTTAACTTTGAATAATGTAAATTCAAATAATGCAATGACTTCATTATCCTCACGAACCAAGACCTAGCTGTATATTGTATGCATGTTTGCACTCCATCACAGCATTTCCAAATATTTGATCTCTTTATGTAGTATTTCTGGGTTCTCTGAAGAATACTAAAAATCACATGGGTATTTTGTAACATATCACATATGGAAATAATGGTGATCTTTTAAAAGTGCAAAAACAGTAGGTGAAACTACACTCTTCTTTATAATGAGCGTGCAGTTGGCATGAATGTTCTTCTGGTTGGTTAGAACCTGGATTGAGTTCTAGGATTAATTCATCTATGATAAACTATTAGCTAAGAATTTGCAATGGATCTCTGCATATGTTCATGAGATCCAGTGTAATCCCAGCAGCTACATAGTACCCAGGGCTAAAATTATCTGCAAGTGCAGAAAAAATACAGGGCTGCACGAGGTGGAGAATTCAGGATTGTGAAAATCCTTGCATAAAAGAAAAGCACACGTGACTGTGGAGATCTACTTCAAAGTGCATGTAGCATCAGAAGACAAGAGTGATTAAATAAGATTTCCGGTGCTTAAAGACTTAGCTTCAGTGTTTTGTATCTTCCACATAACCAGCAAAACCAGAGTAAATAATGGATACTGCCCTGATTTATGGTTAGCCTTTTTTTAAGTATTATGTTTTGCCGCATTAGACCTATGGTTTTATCTGTTAAATTGCTGTTTTGCTTATGTAAATTTGTAGTGGCCTATGGCTAAATACAATAAGCTTACTACTAGTAGTAGTAATGGAAATAAGTGAAACACTGTAAAGAGAGGAACTAGGCATTATTTATATAGGTTGCAAAATATATCATTTTGTGGTATAAAATCAGATTTGGACTTGAGTTTTTTATTTTATTACCATGTTATATATTCAGCACTGCCTATATTTTCCTTTTTGGTGACAATTTTGGTGCAGTGTTTGCAATGCTTTATCTTAAAATAGATATAGCAATGGCTAAAGGAAAGAATATAGACTGGCCTGTAGCAATTTAGTTTTATAATATATGTTCTTTCTTCCTGTCTACTTGAACTGTGTCTGAGAAAGACTATACCCTGCCATCAAATGCACTTCTAGAATAACATTCCCTTTCCTTGAACTACTGCATACTTAATTGAAAGTGCATAACTTTGTGTGTGTTGCTACTTCAAGGGGAGTACAGGTAAAGTATCAGTTCTGGTATTCAGCACAGTGGCATCTTACCTTTTTGAAAAAAAAAATGGTTTTTTTTAAAGCCAATATAAGCTTGAAAGTATATGAGTAATTCCTGCTTAAAGTGCAGAAGCTAGATTACTAACTTGATAAGATTTGAGTAGCTTTAACGGAAGGATTTCTGTGTTCTTCTCTCAGCCTTGACTAATTAGAATAAAATAGAAACATAAAAAACAGAGCGAGTCAGAAGGGGCCTCCCAGGCCATCTAGTCTGACCTCCAGCACCAGCCATCTCCGCTCACGACATGCCCACCATGTGGACGTCCAGCCTATCCTTGAACACCCGCACCGATGGGGCCTCAACGACCTCTCGTGGAAGCCCATTCCACACCCTCGGGGTCCTGACTGTCAGGAAGTGCTTTCTGGCATCCAAACGAAACCTTGGCTCCCTGAGCTTTGCTCCATTGGACCGCGTTCTGCCTTCCTCTGCAGGGGAGAACAGGTCTCTACCCATCTCCATGTGACATCCCCTCACATACCTGTATGTCGCCAACATATCCCCTCTAGGGAAGGGAAGGGAAGACAGAAAACATTACAGAGTAAATTAGACAAAATCCTGGAAATATTTTGTATTTTGACCAACTGTACATGTCATCAGGTAAATCGTGGATGCCAGGTTTTATGT